TGGATTGACTCCCAGATTTTGCCACGGTCTGGACTGCCTTTCTTGCACTGAAAAAATTCGGTAGCAATCATTTCACGCAACAGGAGAATGTCATGGTCATCTGTCCATTCCATTACAGGTTGTTTTTTGGTAGCCATCTTCACGCTATAGAGCCTAAAAAGTTAAAAAAAAAACAGACCTGTAATACACGACAATCGCTCCTACAATCGCCAAAACGACAGAATAAAATTTTACGTATCACTAAGTGCAAAACATCGCAGGCAAAATGATATAAAAGCACGAAAATCATAAAAGCAAAACTCACGTTTTACAGGCGACGTCAAAATAAGCAAAACAAAGTCGGCGCAGAGTCGCGACGGCCGACTCTGTCGGCGGGAAACGTGGATCGGAAGTAAATTTGACTTCCGGTTGCCGTCGCCCCGTAGAAAACGTCTGGTGCTTAAGTTCCCTAATTGGCGTGCACGACGGGGCTCGACCTAGTCTTCCCCATCCACCCCCGTCGCCGTCCTAGCTCCCCGTCCTCGTATCTTAAGGTCCCTATTTACTTCGTGGCAAGGACAAGAAGTAACTGTGTAATCACCTTTCCGAGTACACTGAATCCCCCTGTAAGCGACCACCCAAAATACGAAGGGGGTTCTGACACTTCTACTTTTATTGCATACAACTTATCAGTTATGTGCTGTTCGATTCCCGTTACTCCGAGGTACCATACATACAGGCCTGAACATAGAGAGAACAGTAAAAACAGTCATCGCAAGAAGTGATGACGGTCACGCTTGCAATCGAGGAGTGGTCGTTTACGAGAGATTAGTCCAACTACAGAGCTTTGAATAGGAAAAATTAAGTGTTTTTTATTTGTGGCCGCTTAAGGGAGGTGAAATCTTACGAGAAGTGGTCGTACTGGGAGTTTCAAGTAAATTCAAAAGTCAAAAACGAGGACAAAAGGGGGGCATTCTGCGGCCGCTCTACCCTGCGGACGAGATATCACGAAAGTGGACCTGAGTTTCAAGACCGGAACGAAAGTTTCAGCATGACTTTTTAATACAACATTTCTAAGGTGCTCTGGAAGTAAAACAAGACTACACTTGGTTCCACTAAAACCTTAGCTACACTTACAACCTACTTCTTTGCAGTCACAAATGAAACCAAACGCTTGCTCGTCCATCACGTTCAAATTAAAGTCACACATCTTGTAACTTCCGCAATAACAAGTCATTTTCTTGAGAACTGCACAAACGCCGCAACGTTTTACGCACGGATCACTACACGGCAACACTTCTGTTTCTCCATCACATGAAAAACAACAACAAGGTCCAAAACAGAACCACCAAGCACGCGACATAATGTTATCGTCTCTATCATCATAGCTCTCCATCAGACTAGTGCTTCGTGTATAGCATTCACCAAAAGTATCTGGGCAAATCTTTTTACAACCCCAGCATAAGTACACTCCAGGAGCACAGAGAAGCATATACGATAAAAATCCCAAACAATTGAAACAAAACAACTCGCAATCGCATGTACAAGGAGTCCACTGCAGTGCTGAACACAGACAGTTGCATCTCGTTTGTTTTTTCCTAGGTTGGGTGGTCGCCATCGACTCGATTTGCTGCCCAGGTTGTCTAACTATGACATTCTCTGGGCTAGTTACAATCGGCGAAACTCTAGAAATTCGTTGCGACGGTGTTCTTATTTCCGGATTACGAGATGACTCCTGGTTTGGATTTTCTGAATATATCGGTGGAGGTTGATCACTTATAGCCTCTTCATATGATGGCGGTGGACTCCGTCGTCGAGTTTCGTCGTCTGCCATGACTGCATGCAACACTGATAAACCAATTTTTTAAAGTTTGGAGCTAGTTCAGAAAGCATCAGAACTATCTTTAGGTTATACAGTTCAATAATGAAAATCTGTATGCAAATTACGCATTCTCCCGCGCGAGACTGTTTCTCATTGACAGGGTCATTGATTTCTTTGACAACTAACGAGTAAACAAAGTTGTTGCGCGTGGGACAGGAGAATCTGTCATACACGACAGAATGACGTCATGTTTACGTTGGGCTGGAGGTCAGAGAGAAAACTGGGTCGAAAATTATTTTTGGAAACTGACATGGCGGATGGCGGACATTACATGGGAGACCAATTTTATCGAAGATCAGGAGAATTTTGTGGTAGAAAGTGTACCTTTTAAGATTTAGTGATAAACAGTAAAAGCTTGACGATCTTCTAAAATGTTTTCAAAGAAAAAGGATCCCAAAGGTAAGTATAACTATTGTTGAAGCCGCAAACTAACTGGTGTTTAGGGTCCTCTTTATAATATAAGCTTAATAATCTTTGCAAAAATATATCTTGGGTAGGCAAACTAAGTTTTCTTGTTGTTTTAAATTATTAGTATAGTTGGTTGGCCAACTTTCTTCAGCTGTACAGATTGATTGTGTCACGAGTTAGAATGCGAATAACTCTACGAGGGAAAAACAGACCGAATGTATGTAGAAATTAGGAGAATTGTGTGAAACAGTGCAAAGCTGTATTAAAACACCACAAATGTAAGCAAAAAGAGCCTTGATATGTCTTCATTGGTGCTAATTGCACTATTTTGTTGTGTTAGTTTAATAATGGGTTCATCAATGGGCTAGATTGCAGAATAGCCGGCCCACTAAATCTTCTATAAGCACACTAGTTACTTGATGCCGGTTACCGGTCATCTCACCCCTAAGTCATTTCGCCCCAGTTACTTAGCCCCCCTACTATAGAACGAGAAATATTATATTTGAAGCATGCTTGTTTTGGTTTATGGCTTAAACAACAAGGAATATTACATTTGAAGCGTGCTTGTTTTGCTTTATGGCTTATAGAATGAGGAGTATCACATTTGAAGTGCGGTAAATGACTCAAAAAAACCGGGGCAAAATGACCAGTTACCCTTAATACTGACTCCGGGAGTGCGGGATTAGTCTGCAGGAGCATAAGTTGTATACCCTCCTAGTATACACTTTTCAGTGATTACAGGAGTATAGGACTGCAGAAGTACTCATTTAACTCATTTAGATTTTTAGTATTCGTCGACTTTCGGAGTGTGGGACTGCGGACCCAGCATAAAAGAACATGACTGAAGGACTGCGTGTCAGAGCAGTTTTTCAAATAAGATATATAGTGGGCGGGTATTCTGCAATTATTGCTCTCATCAATGCTTTTTATGACTTTTCATGCAAAAAAGCTGAACTAGAACTTGTGGTATGATGTGAAGAATAGCTCACTGAAAAAAAAAAGATTTAACTGAAAGATCACTTAAAATCACTCACAGTAGAGGAATAGCAAAATTGGCTTGAAAAATGATTACCTCATAATGCGATTGCCTCCAAAATAAGGAGAAATGTAGTTTAAGACCCACCATAATATTGTTTTCTAGGTCGTAAACTTGATTTGCAATCTGGGATTTAAAATATTTACTAAGATTTCATGCAAAGTACAGTATTCAAAATGACAAAGTATGTCTCCAAATCATACATTGCAGACTATTTTTAAGAGGGAGGAATAGGGACCAAGATAACCTTTCAGTAGACAGAAACAAAGGACAGTTATCACACGAACTCATGAACACCTCCTTATTATGGACAGTTCTTCAAACTTCATACAATACCTGCCCCCAAAAAGACTGTTTTGCCACCTAGATTTCTTTTGTAAAGTTGACGCTACCTTTGGTAATAATCAAAGCAATTTTTAGAGTACACCTGCAATGCGCTCTACATCTCCAGATAACTTTATGACATATAATAATGCAGTCAGTTAATACTGACAGCATACATGTACTACAGTCTCAGACAAAAATAGTTGGGACACTCAGACCAAACGCTGTTTTTTCCTTCTTGTGCTCCTTCTGCCCATCGCAAAGTTGTTTATCGCAGTTTAGTCACCAAACCTTGTACACCAACATTGAGGGGACATGGAGACACAAAAGTGTCCCAACAATTTTGACTGAGACCGTAGCTTATGCATTACGAACAAACCAGCAAAAAACTGTTTCTTTCCATGTAGGCTACTGTTAGCCATCTGTTGTTGGCTGATTGTTGAACTTTTTGAGATTTAATGTTATATAGCTGTATTGATTAATTTTTAACATCAAGATCAATTTTAATATTTTATCAGAACAAATGCGACAACAGAAAAGGGAGCTGAATAAAACACAAAGGCAGTTAACAAGAGATCAGAATGCTCTTGAAAGACAAGAAAAACAGTTGGTGAGGATAATTGGAATAGGGTGTTGAAATTACTAGACTCTACAACACCATTGATATGCATATCATATTATCCAGGATTTTTTTGTAATTCTGTACCAATGGAATAGCCACACGTGGAATGTGGAGTAGCCCTAATGTCTCATACAAATAACTTTCATTTTTACTCAAAAGAGTGATATGGTGGCCCAGAGATGCCAACCTCTGGAGATCTAAAATCAGGAGACTCTCTATTTTGCATTACACCCCCCCCACCAAATGTCAACATCCCCCACCCCCCTTGCCCACAAAATGACCCAGCCGCTATGGCTAAGGACATTATTATGAAGTCTTACATGAAGTACTTGACAAAATAATCTTTGTCAGAGATTAAAATTAATGTGGGCAAAAATGTCCTAGAAATCGTACAATGAATAAAAAAAGTTTGAATTGTGAAAAAAAAATGAGCTAAATTTCAAACTTAAGCACAGGAAAGCTCAAAAGTCCAATTTATGCAGGAGATTTGGTGACCCAAACGGGAGAGCTGGAGATCTGTGCCTTGTCCGGTAGAGTTGGCATTATATGTTTGGTCATTGTTTATATTTCCACTGGTCAGTGCAGCACTTATTAATCTAGGGTCACAAGGTGGCAGTGATCTAGCAGCACCATTTTGCAAGGCACCCTGGATTTTAGAAGTCATAACACTGGGCTCCCTTCTTCCCCTTTGCTCATAAATACAGGCTTGTAAATACTTGTTATAATAATTATTATTATAGGAGACAAAGGAATTTGAGAATCGACCTAGTTTAAAAAAAAGTTAACTTTAATTTAATTTGGCCTGTACCATGTACACCCTAGATCCTCAAAAATAATAATGAAAAGTATAATGGTGGAAATGCTTACTTTTCTCCTTAACCGTTAACCATTTTGGTTTTCACAATTATTGTTCCAGGAAGCTGAAATAAAGAAAATGGCCAAATTAGGAAACAAACAGGTTTGTAAAATCTTGCACACTAGGGAATTAACTTGGTATAAACATACACGAAATTATTCCTGTCTGACTCATTATTTCTGTAAGTCACTTTAACTTGGTTGAAAAAAAAAAACATCCTTACTCTGCCTCTTTTAAAAACTACATGATACCCCTAGAAATTCCTACTTTGTTAGGTAATGTAGTGATAGTTTTTGAGTATATGCTCTGGTAGTTGGAGTTGTCTTGAAACTACAATTCAAACCACAAGAATAGTCTTGACATTCCCTCCTGTAGACTTAAAAAATAATGATGATGATGATAATTGTGGGCAACAAGAGGAGCCCGCGATCCTAATCTCCAGGTTGTTATCATGCATGCGTCGCATGCATGTAGCCAGCATTCATAATTTTTAGACTTCCACTAAGAATGTATGGAATGCACATAGCGTGTTATTACTAGCAAAATAAATAATAATACTAACTAATAATATTGAATGATAATTTATAATAATAATTAATATTATTCATTCATTTTTATTCAAAATATTTCACGGTATCTGTTTGACTCTATCCCCCTGGCTAATTCTTCATAACCAACTGGCATGTACCGTATTTGGAAGATGTGAGCAATATACCATCGATTTGACCGTATACGATCGGTCAACTGCATTTCCAGGCACCGCACCCTAGCCATTTATTCCTGAATGAACTTAAAAAGAAAATGGCTTTCATGGCTATCTGAAGACAAAATCTATAAGCTGAAGTTTTAACTAACTGAACAGAAGAAATGGAAGAATACGCAAAATATATCTCTCGAAGGATGTTATTTACTTCTTAAAGGATTATCTGTAGGCTATTGTACATTATGCTTTTGCTTCCCCACTAAAATGCTCCACCTTAATGCTCCATTTTTCCCACTAAAATGCTCGGTCTCCCCAAAAAAGTCACTAAAATGCTCGGATAATGCTCATTATACAAACGGTTTTTAAAATTAATTTCAAAGTTTACACTTACAAAAACGTGCAAGTGTTGCAAGTAACAACGACAACGTGTACAAGTCAATAAATACAGCCAAAAAAAGCCAGCTGTATTAGGTTTTTTGTGAATTTTGAGTTTTAGTCTTCATTTTCTTTAAAAACACAGGAGCTCGTGGGGCATGGGCTCCTGAAAAAAGTTAATTTCTATTTTATTTTCTCGGAAAAATTAATTTTCCGGGGAAAATGCCACTAAAATGCTCGAATAATGCTCAATGCTTTTGCCTCACTAAAATGCTTGAAAAAATGCTAGCATAATGTACAAAAGCCTAATTATCTGCAAGAAAAAACATCTGTTTATATCCTGAAACCATGCCAAGAAATAGGCCAAAGTTTTAATAAAGAAAGTCTATGACAAGGTAAGCTTGTTAAGAACTTAGAAATATTTTGAATGAATTATGAATTTGGCAGGGATAACATCCTCCTCAATTTGCATAATACTTCACATCCTGTGCAGCTTCATTTTTTTTTAAACCCCTTGTCACGTGAGTACTCAAGTGTATCCGTTGATGAAAACCGTCTTGCATTTTAACCCTACTTGGCTCTTTCCCTCTCCTTAGGCTGCAACAACACTGGCTAAGCAGCTGATAAATTTACGAAAGCAAAAAACCAAGAACATGGCGGTCAGCTCACGAGTTATGGCTATTGGACATCAGACACAAACCATGCACTCGACAGCAAAAATGGCTGGAGCTATGTCAACTGCAAGCAAGGTCAAATTCAAAATATTTTGTTTTTAATGGAAAAATTCCTGTGTTTTTTTTTTCCATCCAAAATTCATGTGCTTATTGGTTAATTAGAGGTCATGTGAAATCTAATGATAAAAATGTTTCTCACCAAAACATTTTCTGAGTGGGTAACATTGCAACATGTATCACTATGACATCTAGTGATTACAGATGGTGCAATGTTTAGCACTCAAAATAAGTCATGTCTGATGGCCTAGGTCTAGTAGATTTTGTGGTTAGACCAGTGTGGATTCTATCCCTCACTAAGCAAGTGAAGATTTAGTCGTGAGGGTATAGTCTGACTAACGAATTATTAGATTTATCGATGGTGTGGTAGAATCATGGTATAGTACGTCCTAATTACAACTTGCCTAAAAGGCAAACTGGAAAATTATTGATTTCATATAATGTCTGCAAGAAGGTGGTAAAAAATAAGTGGTATAGAAAAGACTGCTTCCCCTCTTGCATAGGGCTAATAATGGGTAAGGCTATTATTAGTTCACTTTTGACAAAGATGTTGTTTTAGTGATTTTTGGTAGCATGTGTAGCAGGAGCTCAAAAGAGAGTTGGGTAAAGGGGGAATAGGCCTTGGTCCTTGGCCTTTGTTTATATTGTGTTCAACTTTCGGTATACACGAAAACAGTTTGCTTTTGAAAAATTTTGTTAGCACGAGCTGAAAGAGCATATTAAAATTAGGTAACCTGCAAATCTTAAGCGTTATATCTCAAAAGTAGTGATTGCAATGGCCACCAAAAATTAGAAGGATTTTTATGAGAAAAACAACTCTTGCCACCCAATCACACTTGAGTGGTTTTCTATGCAACTCCCTGTAAATTCTGAAATTTTTAAACTGTCGTTAAATCTTTCCCTTATGCATTTTTAAATGCGTGATTTGAGCCCCATGATGTGTAGGAAATATTTCAGGACAATTTGAAAATTTCGAAATTAACAAGAATTTGTTTGGAAAACCATTCAAGCATGACTGGGCGGCAAAAGTTAGTTTCTCATACAAATCATTCTAATTTCTGGCAGCCGTTGCAATTGCCACTTTTGGGATTTATGGCTGATAAATGCTTTTTCAGTTTCTGCTACCAAAATTTTTCAAAAGCTAACTGTTTTCGTGATCAACTAATTTTTTCTCCAATTTTTCTGCCTGTCAATGCAGGCTATGATTGTAAGCCCCCAGCATGCAAAGCTGCCTAATGCAGCCATTCCAAAAGTCAACAAAAGTTAACAACTTGATGTTTTCCTACACCTAGACAATGGGAAGTGTAAATGCTCAGATGAATCCAGCACAATTACAGAATACTTTGAAAAACTTTGAAATGGAATCAACAAAAATGGACATGAAAGAAGAGATGAGTGAGTTTATCTTTACTCTAGTTTGTACTTTTACTTTTTAGGACTATGATTGGTTTTGTTATAAGCTGCTGCTGAAGCAACATATTTTTTATCTTGATTCATGACCCCTTTGTTCTTATATTTGGAAGATTCTCGCTAAGTGTAGAATCCTTTTAGCACTTAATTTTTAGCCAAGTCTCAAATTATTTGTCTCCAAATTTTTACAAAATAAATTGCCTGTAAAATTAAGTAACAGAGAAAGCATCCTAGCGTTTTTTCAAAATCAAATTAATTAGTAAACAGTTATGAACGTTGTGTAATACATTCTCTTGCAGTTAATGAAACATTAGATTCAATACTAGACGAGTCTGGAGACGAGGAGGAGCAGGAAGCCATTGTCAATCAAGTTCTAGATGAGATTGGCATCGAAGTATCTGGAAGGGTAAGTGTGGAGCAGGGAAGCATTGTAAAATGTGTGAAATTCCATACTGATGATGCGTCAGTACCCAGAACGTGGTAGTGCTTCTGTTTGGCCGTGCCGTGGGGTTCAACCAATCAAGGCCACTACCCAGATCTGGGTAGCGACACGTCATCAGTATGGAATTTCTACGCTCGTTTCCCAGATGTCATTTCGCCGGGAAACCAGAGATGGCTTCAGAAATGTCAGCTGTTTTTCACATGCTACGTAAGTGGGTACCAAAGACATACTGCGGGGGGTAATCCCGCGATAGATTAACATCCCATCCAGGGGGGAGTTGCAATTTCCCAATTCCCCCCTGGCTCATTTTCATGCTATAAATTCAGTTTCAGACTGGTACTAATGTCTCTGTATCCTAACCCTGATAACTGTCTAGTTAGCTTAAATCGACTGGTTCATTTTACATGTGCCGTTGTAAATATTAACAAAAACATTGGACAACGGAGGAGGCGCAGAAAAAGTAATGCCTATCCACAAACCATTGTTTGCGTTCTTCCGCCTTTTATGTTTACAAATGAGCGGTACTTAGAACAACGATTTTGTCAAATGGAAAAAGACATTTCGGCCCCACCGACCGAGATAACCAGAACGGTCAAAGTGGACCACCTTCAAAGCTGGTCCCGAATATTCCGGTCGGACCAAACCGAAATGGACGGTTCCATTTGATGTACCAACCGAATTTTCCGGAATTTTAGGTTGAATAGAAAGCGCCCGTAGAACCTGTTTTTAAGGGTACGCTCCACAATGAGCCTCATCCTTCGCCTCGCCCCAAGTAAGGGGAATACCGGAATACAGCTCAAAGAATCCGAAATCCCAGTAGTGATTGGAATCCAGAATCCAAGTTCCACTGATCCAGCAGCTGGAATCCAGAATCCAAGATTGTCTTGGATTCCCCGTTCATTGGGCGATTCACCCAGCATTTGAATGAATATCTCATTATTTCTCTTTTACTTTAGATGGCAGAAGCACCTTCCGCTCATGCAGGAAAGTTACCAACTGGACAGCGAGCAACTGCCGCCAAAGGATCTGATGCAGATATTGAAGAGATGCTGGCCAAACTAAAAGCATGAAAATGAAAATGTAACCAGCGTAATTTAATTTTTGTTTTTAGAGCATTCCCTTTTTTTCTCAGTTTAGCGTCGTCCGACCGACCCAAATATTTGGCATTTTCGAAAAATGTATATAAATACAGTAAAAAGGAATGACGTAGTTGAACCTGTCTGACTTTTTGT